CTAATTAATACATATATTTAATGCTAGAATATAAATGAATTGGGGTTGTGTAGGTAGGAAGAGTTGTAAGTAACTACCTCTCTAAGGTTGTTTCGTAGTCCTTAAAATGGGACAGTAATACTTGTATTTTAAGGGGTTATTCTCAAGATTAAATAATATATGTAGAGGACATAAAGTGTTATATAATTATAAACTCTTATTTAGTGTCCAAAACAAAAAATAAGGAATATTTTATTAGGGAATAGTTACCAGTTATTTGGAAAATTTTGCCATACTTATGTGCCATACAATAATCAATGATGGGAAATGGTTATTTGAAAACAAAGTTAATTATTTTAAAATTAAAATAAATTTTTTAATTTAAGCAGTATTAATTAAACCCAGTAGGTGAAAAAAAAACCCTTGGAAGAAATATGCATTTCAGCTAAAGGAGATTCTCATAATATCCATATCCAAAAATGTGAGTCTCAGTCAGCATATTTAGTTTACCACCTTTCTTTTAGGAGGTAGGCTTTAATGCTTCGTTGATCCTCTGGGGTTAAGCTTGGTTATTTGCATTGATTACAGTTCCTAAGTCTTTCAACATTGTTGGTCTTTGCAGTGATGTTATTATAGAAATTGTTTTTCTTTGTATCTGTCATATAAGTCTTTACAGATTTCTCTGAAACCATCTGCTTCATCCTTTTTTGTAATAACATAGTATTACAAGTATTATTGTTGCATACTATTACCTTCACATATTATAATTTGTTCAACCATTCCCCAGTTGATTGCCATCCCCCAATTGATTGCCATCCCCTTTATTCCCAGTACTTTTATACCATGAACAGAGGTGTTATAAATATTTTTTTAGGTAGAGGATCTTTCCTTCTTTCTTTGATTGCTTTGGAGGTATGGTCATATTGTAGAATCAAAAGATATGGACATTTTAACTTTTGATTACAGTTCCAGATTGCTTTCCAAAATTGCTAGACCAGTTCACAGCTTTAATAACACTTAAATCATGTCAATAAACATTTATTAAGTGCTTATTATTTATTTTCCAGACACTCTCCTAAACATTGGGAATACAAATACAAGCCCGGTGCCACCCCATCGCCTCCCCAATCCCTGCCAAAACAAAAACCCAAAATACCCCAAACAGTCCCTGCTCTCCTTCTAATGAAGCTTACCTTCTAATGTGGTAAGATAACATATAAGAATAAGATAAAAAGGGGGATGTAGGAAGTTAGCACACTGAGGCATGGTTGAGAAAATGAGCTTGATAGCAATGTTCTGTTGCTAGATGCAGTCAACCTATTTATGATGCCCCTTTTCTCTTGTCTTTCCTCAGTGTCTAAACACAGGTTTGTACTCATTTTCTTCAAAATCAGTATTATCCGCCAACCCTGAAGTCAGGAGGACCTGAGTTCAAATCCAGCCTCAGACCAAACACTTGATACTTACTAGCTGGGTGACCCTGGGCAAATCACTTAATCCCAGTTGCCTTTTAAAAAAATTACTATTATTTCTTTGTAAAAGTTAGAGTGTGTTATGTTTTATTTCCCCCCCAATTACTGGTAAAAAGATTTTTAACATTTATTTTTTAATTTTTGAGTTCTAGTTTTTTTTTCCTCCTTCCCTTCTTCCTCATTGAGAAGGCAGATAGTTTGACACAGGTATTATACATGTGCAGTCATTCAAAACATATTTCCATATTAGTTATATTGCAAAAGAAAACAGACAAAAAAACAAACAAGAAAAATAACATAAAAAAGTGTATTTCACTCTGCATTCTGAATCAATCCGTTCTTTCTCTGGGGATAGATAGCATTTTTCATCATAAATCTGTCAGAATTGTCTTGATCATTGTATTGCTGGGAATAGCTAAGTCGTTCCTGGTTGATAGTCATATGATGCCATTACTATGTATGATATTCTTCTGGTTCTGCACATTTCACTTTGCATCAGTTCATGTAAGTCTTTCCAGGTTTTTCTGAGAGCATCCTGTTCTTCATTTCTTATAGCACAATAGTATTCCATCACAATAATATACTACAGCTTGTTCAACCATTCCCCTTTTCATAGGTATACCCTCAGTTTCTAGTCCTTTGTACCACAAAAAGAGCTGCTATAAATAATTTTGTGCATATAGGTCCTTTTGCTTTTTGTTTTTTATCTCTTTCAGATACAGACCTAATAGTGGTATTGCTGGATCAAAGGATCATGGTTTTATAGTCCTTTGGGCATAGTTTTTCAAATCGCTCTTCAGAAGAGCTGAATCAGTTCACAACTCCACCAACAGTGCACTAGTGTCTCAATTTTCCCACATCCCCTCCCATATTTTGTCATTTTCCTTTTCTTTTATATTAGTCAATCTAATAGGTATGGGGTGATAACTCAGAGTTGTTTTAATTTACATTTCACTAATCAGTAGTGACTTAGAGAATTTTTTTCATATGATTATAGGTAGCTTTGATTATTTCATCTGAAAACTGCCTGTTCATATCCTTTGATCATTTATCAATTGAGGAATGGCTCTTATTTTAATACACTTTACTCAATTCTTTATATATTTGAGAAATGAGGCCTTTATCAGAGAAACTTGTAAAAATGTTACAAGTATCATTTTTTCCCTGTAGGAATGTAAACAATTTAACCTTATTGAATCCCTTATGATTTCTCTTTTCTGTTTACCTTTTTATGCTTTCCTTAGGGTCTTGTATTTGAAAGTCAGATTTTTCTATTCAGCTCTTGCCTTTTCATCAGGAATGCTTGAAAGTCCTCTATTTCATTGACTATCCATTTGTTTCCCCTGAAGGATTATACTCAGTTTTGTTGGGTAGATGATCCTTGATTGTAATCTTAGCTCTTTTGCCCTCTGGAAAATTATATTTTAAGCCCTCTGATCTTTTATTGTAGAAATTGCTAAATCTTGTGTTATCCTGACTATGGCTCCCTGATATTTGAATTGTTTCATTTTGGTGCTTGCATTATTTTCTCCTTGACCTTGGGGCTCTGGAATTTAGCTGTAATATTCCTGGGAGTTTTCATTTTTGGTATCTCTTTCAGGAGGTGATCAGTGGATTCTTTCAGTTTCAGTTTTGCCCTCTGCTTTTAGAATATCAGAGCAGTTTTCCTTGATAATTTCTTGAAAGATGATATCTAGGCTCTTTTTTTGATCATGGCATTTAGGTAGTCCAGTAATTCTTAAATTATCTTTCCTGGATCTATTTTCCAGGTCAGTTGTTTTTCCAGTGAGATATTTCACATTTTCTTTTATTTTTCCAGTCTTTTGATTTTGTTTTATTGTTTCTCGATGTCTCATGGAGTCATTAGCTTCCAGTTTCCCAATTCTAATTTTTAAGGAATTATTTCCATCATTGAACTTTTGTACCTCCTTTTCTATTTGACCAATTCTACTTTTATCCCATTTGGTTTATACATGTTAAGTATTGAAATCAATTCATTATCTATATATATTCCCTTTTCAGGAAATGTAGTTTCTCTTTTTTTCTTTTTTAATTAAAAATCCATTTTTGGTGTTGCTTTCTCAGAGATCCCAGTTGATACCTCCATAATTGATATTCTTCAGGTTTAGCAGAGGCACAAATAGATTTTTATCCAATCCCTTATTTTATGTCTTTTGTGAACGTTTGTGTTCCTTATAAACATCATATGGGTGGATTTTTCTTTCTAAAACGATTCTTTTAACATCTTCCATTTTATGTTAGTTCATCCCAGTTCATATTCATTGTTATGATAATTGATTTTTCATTTCCCTGTGGTTATTTATGTAGTCTTTGTAGAAAATTGCTTTTTTCTTCTACTTGTAATTTTATTGAGTTGTCTTTTTTTGGAGGGGGGACCTCTTTAGATCTATTATAAATTATTTAAACTAGTTGATGTTTTATTTACTCCTTTTTAATTCCTGAATTGAGGCTTTGTGCCAGGGTCAGCATCTATCCCCTGCTCTTTACTGTCATGTGGGGTGGTCATCCCAGACTGTTCTTGCTTCTGGGTCCCTCGGGTTCCTCTGCTGACCTCCACCTCTGAGAGTTGGACTCTGAGTTTCAGAGCACTGAATCTTCAGGAACCCTCTGGTGTCTCAGGACAATTTACCAGGGACTTCAGATCCCCTGGGCTTCAAGTGTCTAGGTCTCATTGCTCCAGTATTGCTGACTGGTCTGGTCATTGCTTGCTTTTGTTCCCAGGTACTTCCATTGTCCTACTCTGGCGCTTTCTTACTTCTTTGAAATAGTTTGACCTCCCTGAGACTTTGTTGCAGATAATATATTTGCTGCCTCTGGAAGTGCAGCCATGCATGTGCTCCTGGATTTTTTCTGGTTGAGCTAGGAAGTTATGCTGAGCGCTAGGGGCTCCCTGTCTTATTGCTGTATAGTTCTAGGGAAGAAGTAAGTGATTAGATTCTCCTTGCATATCTTGATTCTTATGCAGTCTGGTGTAAATTTCAAAATTTTGTTGGATTTTTATGATTATTGTGTATGCAGCTATACATTTGTAATGAATTTAATTTGGAAAATGCATGGTCTGCCTTCCATTCAGAGAGCCATTTGGCCAGACAGTTAATTATTTTTGTTCCTTTAGTGAGAACTATGGGTAGCTGATATTGTCAATAGTAAACATTATATTTGGTGCTATAAAGGGAGAGTTATTATATACATGTGACCCTTGTTCCCTGGAAATTGTCAGGCTTAGACAAATGATATCAACTTAGCATTTAAGGAATAAAATAAAGAAATAAGTGATTACCTTTTTCCATTTAAGTTGTGAATCCATTTGAAAGACCTTTTAACAGGACCGCTGATTATGTCACTTTGGGAGTGTATCATTTAAGATGAGTTGGGATTTTGAGAGAAATTTTTGATCATTTTCACTATATGACTGTATCCTGTTGGATACATAACCTAGAATGAGGATTTAAAATAGTTTCTCTGTTTAACTAAAAATGATTGTAGCATGTATTTTCTCTGGAAATAATTTCTTTGTATTTTTTAAAGCTTCCTCAACAGCTCATAGATGAACCAATGATAACAAAAGAAATGTATGAAATTGCCGTTTCCTTGATTCAGTTGTTTGACGAATTGGATATGAAAGAGAATGGGTAAGAAAAGGGGGAGAATGACTTAAGAAAAACATTTTTTGCTTTAAATCATCATTTTTATAGTCTGTTATGATATTAATGTGTACTATGATTTATATCTTTCCTTTTTAACCTTCTAACATTTCTTAGAAATGTTTCATTGAGACGTTGATTTAAATAGTGACTTGATGAAAATTTCTTACTTCAAAAGGAAGTTGTGACTGCTAGTTGTAAAAGCTGAGACAGCCTAAAGAGAGTATTGAATCTGCTTTTCAAAGATAGAGAAGTCACAAGTCTATGTTAGACTTAAATGAAACTTAAGAATTAACATTGATTAAAGAAATCATTGAAAGCTGATGATCTTTGTTTTCTGGTTTGTCTTTTCTAATAAGTTTTTTCAACATTACTGGTAGTCCTCTCTTTTTGAATACATCACACTTAAAAGTTAAATTGCTTGGAATTTAGAATTCATTTTCCCCACAGAAATAGTGTTGGAAAATGGTTGTTAGTTTTAGAAGCAACCTGTGTGGGAAAACGTTATTCAGGTTCCAGCTTGGGAGTTGGAGAATCAGCAGTATAAGGCATGAAGTTTGCTGACTCCAGTATGATACCATTATAGTAAACTTAGAAAGAATTCAGTAATAGTTTTAAATGAATTTTATTTATTAACCATAATCAGATTGTACATGGTTGAAAAGTAGTAATACTTCTGTTTGGGATGCTTTTTTTTTTTTGGCTAGGCAGTGGGGTTAAGTGACTTGCCCAGGGTCATACAGCTAGTAAGTGTTATGTGTCTGAGGCCGGATTTGAACTCAGGTCCTTCTGAATTCAGGGCTGGTGCTCTATCCACTGCGCCACCTAGCTGCCCCTTGGGATGCTTTTATTCCATCTATTGAAAGCCTATTTTCTTATTTTACTAAATCATGCTATATATTTTATTAGTTCTTACAGTTCAAAACCAAAACTGATTGGTACTCATAGATGTTTGTGGGCTCTTAATCCACACATTGGAAACCACTGCCAAAGGACATATGGGCTATGTGACCTGCTTTTGCCCCTGGCTGAAGACCATTGTGACTACCTCTTTCTGATGGCACCTCCCTGTCCCTCACTTTTTTGCTCTGGAGGTGCCTATCCCTGTCCCATTTTGTTTGGGGAGGAGGGTGTGTATGAGGAGATCAGTGTGCTATTCTAGGTTTGGTGGGCTGAGCTGCTGCTTCAATTTGAGGAGTGGTTGTTGTTCTGCTCTCTATCCCTTCTTGCCATGCCTGCCCTTACTTGCTTCTTTGGGTATCTCCAGTCAGGCCATGTGGTCGTCCCTTAAGTGCACTAATTAAAAGGGTCTGTTGCTTTCAGTATTGCATGGCTTATGTAATTTTTATGTGAGGTTCCTTTAAGTCCCAGAACAGCCTGGTAGTAGATTTAGGAGTAGTGTTGCAGAGAGATAGATGGAAGGATAGGACCTTTTATAAAAGGGGAAACTCTGGATGTTATATAATGGAAATAAAATGGTCATGCGTGTGATGGTCGAGTTTTAAGGTATGACCATCCTTATTTGTGGATGAGAGTTTCGGACTTTAGTGGACTGTGAGGTCAGGGTGCTTTAGGGAGTATCAGTTTGTTTATTGAAAGTCTCTATATATGAGAACAGGGTTTGAGATGGAGAGAAATGCCAGGCAATAAACCCATTGTGAAAGGATGAGGAAATGACTAGAGAGGAGGGGACACTTAAGATTTGGACAAGGTAACAGAGATGGATGAAGTATTTCTCAAGGGGAAGAGAGGCTGCTGAGGGATGGCCTGGAAGGGTTAGAGAGGAGCAAGGGGTATGCTTTTACCTACCTCTTGGCCTGGTGTACCTGGATGTGTTTGTGAGAGAAGGTACACATAGTGTTGGGGATACTGGTCAGGGATGCAGTGTGTTCTGAGAGGAACTTGGTTTTTTTAGGTGCAAGAAGGTGGAAAGAATATGTGGGGAAGAGATCTAGGACAGTGATTGGTTTACAATACAATAGGGGTTCCAGTGGGCACAATGGAAAGACAGGTCAATGTAGGATAGAGACTTGAGGGAAGTGTAGGACTCAGGTTGGTGGGGATTCAAGAATGGGAAATGGTAGCCAGGAGTTTTTCCCTAGCTAAATGAAGAATAGGAATTAAGAAAGAAGTAACTTAAAGTTCGTTGGCCATAGGTTAGGAACATTCTCTTCATTTACTTCTGACCCCATTAAAAATGATGAGAGATTACCATGAGTTTGTTTTTTCTCAAGCATGAGGGAAGAAGAGAGATGAGTTTGGTCATTTGCATGAGTGAAATATCTAGTAATTGGGTCCCAATGCATGTAATTAAAGATATCTCATATATGAGGTATACATACCTCATAAAGTTAACTCAGGATTTTCCATTCCCTGGCTCTGGTGCATCTCATTCCCAAGCAGCACATGCCTTTACAGACTTCTGATTCTCTGTTTTCTCAGGTGTTTTAAAAAAAGCCCATCGCCTAGCACTTACTTGGCACTTAGTAGGTGCTTAATAAACACTTGTTAATTGATTAATTGACTCTTCCAGAGGCTCTGGACATCTAACTGGTTTTGAGTCTCCATTAGCACCAGCTTTGATATGCTTTAAGCTTCCAGAGGTTTAGAAACTCTGGTGTTTCTGAGTGCCACATCATAAACTCTCTTGTACCAGGTTCTCTAACCCCTGAGTCATTAATTCATCAAACTTCTATTATGTACCTTTGTATTTGTGGCTTAGTACAAAGTCAGAAACATATGGTCCCTCCCTTCGTTCTGCTGAGGGCTGTAATACATGTAGAGATTAATAAATATAAAATAATTTGAGGTGGGAGAGGATATGCACCAAAGAGAGAATCAGAGAACATTTCATGGGTGAGATGGTACCTAAGATGAGCTGGAGATTATGAGGGAGAATCTATCACTGGCATTAGGGACAGCCTGTGGGAAGACATAGGGAAAAGAGGGAATGCTGAGTTCAGGGAACTCTGTAGTCTGGTAGAGATGGAGTGTAAAGGACTCATATTAAATAAGGCTGGGAAGGCTCTTTGGAGCCCAACTATGGAGGTCTTAGAATGCTAGCTTGAAATATTTTTACTTCCTCTTAAAAGAAATAACTCTTTCCATTTTGTTTCATTTGGTTGAGTTCTTGATGCAAGTTATTCTAGCTTGCTGAGTTGGTGCTATACTTTATAAAACTTTAAAAAGAAGTTTTCTGGGCTTTTTGTTTTTTGGTAGTTTTCCTTGACTCGTGTGTGCTAATGTCTGCTTCTCTGATTTCTTTTCATTGTTCTCTTGACATTTATTTCTCTGACTCCTTAGAGTCCTCATCATTGTCATGATGGAAATGACAATGATGATAATGATAAGGTCTGCATTTAGATAGCACTTTAAAGTTTGCAAAGTGCTTTACAAATATTATCCCATTTTCTCCTGACCACAATCCTGGGAGGTAGGTGCTACTAATATCCCCATTTTATAGATGAGGAAACTGAGGCAGAGAAGTTAACTGAATTGCCAGAGTCAAATAGCTATTAAGTGTCTGAGGTCAGATATAAACTCAGGTCTTCCTGACTCCAGGTACAGCTTTGTTTACAGAACTATCTTATAATTCTAACTCTGTAATTGATTTTATTGCTTGACTTCAGACAATAAAATCAATTAATTGGTCATTGAAAGTATCTATTGAGCAAAATTATCTCTGAATTTACTTCCAGCTGTAACATTGATACAGTGAATAAAATGGATAGGTAATTTTTTTTCATATAACTTTTTTTACTTTTAGGGACAAGACCTTGTCAAGTACCAGCTTTGTGTCAGAACGCAGTAGTGTATTGGTTTTTTTGCCAGGTGGGTATTCATTTTGTACTTTACTTTGGGTAGAGGAGAAAGTATTTGATTAGCCTTTTTTAACGAAGTAATATTTTTTTCTTGTGACTTTTTTCTTGCCAATGAGAACATGAACAGAAGTACAGTTTTTAGTATGACTCATTCTTTAACTTGTATTTTAACAAGTAGTCAAACTTTTTAAAGGAGGCGATGGATCTTGAAGGACTGTCCTCAAGTATCAGTAATTTAAAAATCTAAATTAACAGTAAATTAATAAAAATTCATTTGTTATATTTAGGGTTTTACTGGTATGGTTATAAATAATACATAATTAGGCAGCTTTGAATAAATTTTAGATGTAATAGATTGATGCCAAACAGTCCTGGAACACACACTAATCCCAAGAGGATGTTAGAGTAATCATTAAATTCCTCTTATGTTGTCTTTCTTTTCAAAGATTTGCAAAATTGTTCTTTGGTTTTATAATATAAGAGTTATTAAAAAAAACATTTTATCCTGAAGGAGAAAGAATGCATTTGGTCAATTAGTAAGCATTTCTTTAAGCACTTAGTCCATGCTAAGCTCAGTGCTAAGAGCTGAGAATACAAAAAAGTAAAAAGAAAGTCCCCGTCTTCAAGTAGCTCATGTTCTGACAAGGGAGACAGCATGTAAATGACTAGATAGATGCACCCTATATAGAGTAGATGGAAGATACTCTGAAAAGGGAAGACATTAGCAGCATCTGGGGCAGGCCTTTGGAAGGTGGAGTTTGAGCTGTCTTGACGGAAACCGTGGAAACCAAAAGGCAGAGATGAAGGGGCAAAACATACTAGCCTGAGAGACAGCCAATACTAAAGCATAGAGCAGGAAAGTGGTACATTGTGTTGATCTCATAGCAGTTAATGAGACCACAAATTTAGATAGTAGGAAGAAAGGAGAGAAGAGAGCCCAGGGCAGAGCCTTGGGAGCCACCTACGTTGACAGTTGGCATGATACAGATGAAAAACAAGTGAAAGAGCCTGAGGAGTCATCTGTGTGGTTATAGGAGATCCAACAGTGTCTCAAAAACTTAAGAGAAAGAATCCAGGAGCAGAAGGTGACAACAGTGTCAGAGACTGCAGAGAGGTCAAAGAGAATGAAGATGGAGAAAACACCATTAGATTTGGCAGTTAAGAAATCATTGGTGACCTTTGAGGGAGGGCAGTTTCAGTTAATGTTAACTGTTGGAAGCCAGATGACAGACTCTAGAAGAGAGTGAGAGAAGATGAAGTGGAGCCACCACTTATAGATGACCTTATTAAGTTTAGCCAGAAAGGGGAGGTAGGATTTAGAAAAATACGAGGTGGGAATAGAAGGATCAAGTGAGGGTTTTTTAACCATAGGAAAGTGATTGTAGCCATCAGGGAAGGAGCCAGTGGAAAGATGAAGCATTCAAAGATTTTAATTGGATAAAGGAATTTCAGAGTTCATGGATGTGGAAGTGAAATAACAAGGCAATTATCATCTCTTTGAGTATTACTGAAATGTCTTTAAAGATATTTGTTGGTATTGGAAAATGCATATTACAGTTAGTGTTTGAATGTTTTGCTACTGATGGTGTGGATAATGTTTTAAACATTTGGCTTCTAAATGCGATGTAAGATTTAAAACAACACTAAACATGTTGCTTTAAACTTCTTAATTAGTTTCTGCTTAGGCTAAGATTATAATTGGGTATATAATTCTTGTGCACTTGCTAATACTGCAGAAAAAATGGATTTGAAAAGTGATATTCTTTCATTCTACTAGCATTTGAATTCCTATGATATGTACTGTATGAGGAAAAATCATCAGATAAAGACACAATTCAATGCATTTAAATCTATTCTATTCAGAATTTTTAGGTTAATAGTTTCTCTGAACCTAAAAAGAAATCAGAAGGTGTGGAGAAATGATATTTCATAAATGATGCATGAATTTGTGTACAGGGACTAGAAAACTGATCAGACAGACTTTTTCTTCTCCCCTGTTATTTAGCAGTAAATGCTCTTTTAAATGGATGACTTATTGGAAACTTAGCAACCACAGCAGGGAAATAAAGGACAGGCCACACATGCAAGGGTAGTAGAGTGTTCTTCGTTACCAGATATCTATTCTTATATTACTCAACAAGTCTGGGAAAATAAAGAAAAGAATAACTTTCAATCAAAGGGAAAAAAATTTAAATGGGTATGTAAGCAGGTGTATGGGCAGTACCTTTATAAAAATTAGGCTAATATAGGTATACATTTTTACTTGCTAACAAGTCTCTCTTTTTGGTTCTTGTTTAGAGGGAGCAATATAAGCAATGTATCAGTCCCATATTTAGTTTATGAGTACCTTTCCCCTCAAATGATTGCTTCAGAGTGAAAGGAAAAAATAACTTTGAATTTAATATGTGAAAAGAAGACTTGAGTTTGCCTCCACTCTCAAAATGATTTTCTTAGTGGGGAGAAAGGCATTGTAAAGCCTTTCTTTCAAATGATTGCCTTGGATGTGTGGGGAGAACCTCAGAAGAAAAAGGTTTAGAAATACTCGTTGTGGAAATTTCCAATATTGTGCCTCTCATAAGTTATAATATAAAATTGGTTAGTAGGCAAATTCACATGCTAGGAAAAGCATCCTATCCTCATCATGCCATTAGATCTGTTGATTCTCTTTGTTATTATATTTATGTGTCTTTGGAAAACTGAAGTGTACTTGGTAGTCCTTGTTTGTTTTGCAAGGTATTAATAAAAAAAGTTATAGAATTAAAAATTTGAGTCTCTTAAAAGCCTTAGTCTTCAAACTGTTGGAAAGATACATCTTAAGTTTGACAGAGAACTTCATTTTATGACTATAGGTACCATTTTGATCTATCCAGTAGACCTCTTAGGGGCAGCTAGGTGGTACAGTGGATAGAGCGCTGGCCCTGGATTCAGGAGGACCTGAGTTCAAATCCAGCCTCAGACACATAACACTTAGAAGAGAAAATGGACATAGAATAAGAAAATAGATAGAACTTGTGTGAAAAATCGTCTTGATTTGAAAGTTGGTTTTTGACAAATTAAAAACTGTATTTTAAGCCTGACTCTTTTCTTCTTTCAGGTTTAGGTGAAATAAACTACATGCATGAACTCCTTACAAACATGGTTCACAAAAGGTAGTTAAATCATAAAAAATCGACTAATTTCTTAAAAGTTGAATTATTTCTGCATATAATAAATTTTATAGCCATCTCTAAATAAGTATAGTCAAAACAGTCATTGATCTCATGTTCTAAATATCTTATGTAAGTTTATTTACAGTTAATTGTGTTTAAAAAGAGCACGAGTCTTGAATCAGAAAACCCTTCTTTTAAGTCCTATCTTTGATGCTTAATAACTTCGTAACCTTTGGAAAGCCATTAATCTTTCTTGAGTTTTGGTTTCCTCACAGAAATGAGGATTTTAACATTCACAATACCCAATACCTTACAGAGTTGCAAAAAAAAGTTGTTTTTTTTTCAGTCTCGAACGCTATATAAATGTGAGGTGTCATTGACGTTTTATGTCAGTATTCTGTTTGTTAGATTGCAGGTTTATCCTCTCCATTCCAGTGTGACTTTGGAAGAACAAAATAATGTATTTTTAACTCCAGTCCCTGGGTACAGAAAGGTGAGAAAATTGGAAAAGATAGACACAATAGTTGCATGTCTAAACAACCCAGGTTTTCCTTTCCTAGCACTTAATGTTTATTGTTACCCTAGGTAAGTTACTGGGGCAGCTACATGGCACAGTGGATAGAGTGGAAGATCTGAGTTCAAATGCACTTGTTAGCTGTGTGACCTTGGGCAAGTCACTTAACCCTGTTTGCCTCAGTTTCTCATTTGTAAAATGAGCTGGCAAAGGAAATGGCTAACCACTCCATTATCCTTGTGAAGAAAACCCCAATTGGGTTCATGAAGAATAGGATACAACTGAAATGGATGAACAATAGGCAAGTTACTTAACCTCTCCGTGCCCCCAAGTGTCTCTTCAAGAATATAAGTTGTAAAGAAGATACCTGTCAGCTTTGTGGAGGAAGTTCTTCAGCTGTACCACCTTACTGATGAAATAACCGGTTGAGTCTCATTTCCTCTCCTCCTTCCCCTGCTCCTCCCCCAGTTACTACATTTAAGGAAAGTAATCACTTTTTGGACTGATTTCCTAAATTATGATTTTGTGATGAGGTAGCTTGGCCCAGTGGATAGAGGGCTGTTGGTCTTGAGCAACTTCATCTTGCCTCTGCCATACTGGCTGTGTGATCATGGGCACAAGGCACTTCACTTCTTAATACCCCAGGTAGCTCTCAAGATTGTAAACTAAAGCTAGATTACATGATGAGTTTCCTACAAGAATGAAATTAGGAGTCCAGATCCATTGCTTACCAAAAAGAAAAGAATTTCCTGTGTTTAAAAGCTAATTGTCCAAACAACTGTGTGGCTAGTCCATTATGCCTGCATTTTTTCATCTTTATTTGCTTAAATTCATGCATCTACTAAATATTGTTGATTGTTCCACTAGTGATATCCTTTATATCTGTACTCTCCTCTCCCTCTTTCCTTCTGCCATAATTAGTAGAGGCTTTCATTACCTGTAGACTGAACTTTTGTAGTAACCTCCTAACCGATCTTCCTGCTGCTACTTTATTCTTTGATTCTCTGCCTGTGCGATCTTCATAAAACACTACTCTGATTATATTACTCTGTTTTTTAGTGGTTCCCCACTGCCTGCTGGATAAAGTATTGTCCCACTTTGTTTCATCTAATTTAGGGAAGCTTTAAAGTTTTCATGGAAGAGGCACATGGGTCAGGAAGGCTGAAGCAAAAGTCTCTTGTGATAGGTTCATTTTAACTCATGAGGGAAGAACAAGGCTTGACTTGAGACACCTAAGGGGCATAGGGGATAGCACAAGGGAAGAGATGCATCTGGTGAAATGATCCATTTGCTGCTTAGTCTGTAGTGGGACATTGCCTGAGATATAATCTCTGGGCTGTGGCGGGAAGAGGAAAGGTCTTGCTGATTCTGTGATAGGTTCCCTCCAGACCTGGCACCTCAGGCTAAGAGTGAGGCTCTTCATACTCTTCCTGGGTCCTATCTGTAGTTCACTGATGTCCACTAGCCACCAAGGTGAGGTCTTATTCAGATGCATCTGGTTTTCTTTGATATCATGGTCAGAGAGCCAACAGTGAGTAAGATTGCATGGGATATGGAAAGTTCCAGGTAGACTTGAATCCAGAAAAGGCACAAAGAGGAGATGCTTCTAGAACTGACTCAGACTGCTGCAGGAAAGGATAGGCCTGAAATACTAGAGAAGTGCTTCTGAACTACCACGGTCATAAATTTCTTATGATATTTAAGGCAGTACACTCAGCGTTCTTAATCTGGGGTCCAGGAACTGTTCGAATATTTTGATAACTATATTTACTTGTAATTGGTTTCCTTTGTAATCCTATGTATTTTATTTTTACACATTTAGAAGCACTGTTCTGAGAAAAGATCCATAGGCTTCAGTGTGCTGTCTATCAAAGGGATCCATGGCACAAAAAAGGGTTGAGAACTCCTGTCTACACAATTTGCCTTTGATCTGCTTTACTGTTACTAGCCTTATCTCACTGATCACTTTGATGTAAGGTCTACCCCAAATAGGCTGCTTCTTTTCACTGTCCATTTTGGTGACTCCCATCCATAAAAACAATTTCAGAGTTAGAAGGGGCCTAGGCAGCCATCTAGTTTAATGCATATCCAAAAAAGAAAGTCCTCTAGAGCAGTCTTTTTCTTTCAAAGCATGCCATTTAACTTTGGGCTGGCTTTTAATAATTAGTTTTCCTTACTTCAAACCTAATTTCCGATGCCTCTTGGAAACTTGCACTCATTGCTTTTGTTCGGTAGCCAAGCAGAGCAAGTCTAACTCCTTTTCCATGAAGAAGACCTTTCAGGAATAGAAGATAGCTATCTTGTTCCTACTTAATCTTCTCAGGCTAAACCTTTTGTCCTTTTTATCCTTCTATAGGCTAAACAACCCCATTTTATTCTGTCAATCTTTATACAATGGACTTCTGGCCTTTTACCACTCCGGTTGCCCTTCTTTTGGTGTTTCCCAGCTCATCTATGTTGTGAGGTACATAGACTCATAAGATTCTGGCTTCATTCTAACCAAGGCAGAGCAGGGTTGAGACTAAGACCTGTTTTTTCTGTCTCTGTCTTCTTCCCTCTCCAAAAACATTTTTATTGATGCTCTTCTTTATTCATTATCATTTCCAAGTGACTCTTACTTTAAACTAATAAGGTTGGTCAGTTAAGGAGAATCAGTCAGCACTGTGGCCATTTCTGACAATGAATGCCTCCTCTGCATCAATAGTCCAGCCCTTCTCTATTGCGAGGAGGAAAGTATGTTCTACCATCATATCTTTGGAATCAAGATTGGTTGTTGTAATGATCATAATTTTGATATTTTATTATCGTCCTTTACATTATTCTGGATATTTAAAAAATGGTCTCTTGGCTCAGCTTTCTTTGCTCTATACAGGTCTTCCCAAACTCCTCACACTTAACGTGTTTTTCTTAATGTACCACAGTATTTGCATTAGCTTTTTTTTATTTCAGTATCACACTGGGAACTCTGATTAAGCTTGCAGTTCAGATATAATGTTTAACTATGCCTCTTCAAACTTGTACTTGTGAATTTTTGAACCTACTTATATAAGACTTTATGTTTATCCTAAATAAATTTCATCTAATCTGATTCAGCTCAGTATTTTAGCATGTAAAGGCCTCTTTAGATCCAGACTCTGCCATCTAAATTTGATAAAGATATTTTCTGTGCCTTTATCCAAGTGATGGATACAAATGTTAATATCATAAAAGCAGGTATAATACCTTCAGGAGTTCTACAGGAGACTTTTTTTTCTTAAGTTTAGACTGAACTGTGAATGACCTGTTTTTGAGTTCAGTTGTTCAATCAATTCTCTTCATTGAAATTTGAGATTCTGATTGTCCTATAATCTTTCCTGCAGCTTTCCATCCTTCCACAAGAATAGCATGAAACACATTATCAAATACTTTGCTATATGCATATGTATGTGGATGTGTGTGTGTGTGTGTGTGTGTGTGTGTGTGTGTGTGTATATGTCTATGTATGTGTGTATAAATATATATCCTCCCCTCTCCTCACTGTGCTATAAACATATCTTACTTAAATTTATACCTCTCATGGTATCTACCATAGTGATCTATGGACAATGTATATTTTTTGTCCGGACCTGTAATTTTCATCCATTTAGGGGGCTTCATGGTGAGGATACTCCCTCTACTAATTCAGATCTGTACCTATCTGCAGTGTATAGGCTTTTAGAGAGTTGCCTAGAGTTGTGATGTCAAACTCAAATAGAAATGGGGCCACCAATTTGTTCATAAGGATCTCTGCAGGTACCTGACTTTAAAAATCACATATTAACATTATTTACATTTTATTTTATTTTTATCTGTTTTAGTAAATATTTCACAACTACATTTTAATCTGTTTGGGGCTGCACTCTGGTGTGTTGCAGGCACATGTTTAACATGCGCCTCTGGCCTAAAGCTAAACCAGTTAGACATTAAGTGATTTGTCTGGGATCACTCATCCAGTATATATCAGAGGTGAATCTTGAACTTGGGTCTAAAAAGACAAGGCCATCCTTAGCTTTACTACCTGAGGTTGTGTAGTATGTATTGCATAAATGATGATTGCATGAACAAACTGTGCTGAATTTGAAATCCTGTCTAGTAAATCACGCAGGGGAAGGCATAATAGGTGGACAGGAATGGAGCTTGAATGACAGCATGGATACTAGTTGTTTGAGCATGAGAAGATCATGTGATTTCCCTAAGCTTATGGTTTCTTATCTGTAAAAAAAAATAGCAACAGTCCTTTCTCACAGAATTATTATGACAAAAATGCTTTATAAAAAAGAAAACCTTTAAGCACACTGGAAATATGAGTTATTGCTTTTTATGATAGCACTTTGTAAAAAACTTTTACTTAAATGTTTAAAATTGCTTAATCAAAATTATTTATGCCTTGGAAGTACCATTGAGGAATTTTATAATTTTCTTATTTAGGAGATTTCTTTTTCCCTGTTATTCACTGAGTATATACAATATATGATATTTTCTTTTTACCAGAGTATTTTATCTACAAATATAGCAGAGAGCTCTGTCACAGTCCCGGATGTCAAATATGGTGAGTGATATATCTGTTTTTTCTTACAAAGTGAAAACATTTGCCAGTATTTGTCTTCCTTTATCTTCTTTTTCCTCTTCCTTTTCCCCTATTCCAACATCCTTTATTGGAAGAGAAAATTTAACAAAATTTCTTCTCATAGTTCTCTCTTTTTCTTTCTATAAATAACTACTTCCGTATCTGTATTTAAATTCTGAAGTCACTTGTTAGCTGAAGTGACTGGTATTAAGTGATTTTGTGATGTTGGGGGGAAAGCCCTGTGAATGATTTAGAATTAAGTTAAACTATAATTTAGATCAAGGTCCTACAATTATTGAGCTGTGCCTTTGAGACTGGAGAACAAATCTCATTCTTTCATCTTTTCCCTTTGACCCCGTCAGTTGGTGTCCTCTGTCACTGAGGAAGGTTGAAGGCATTAGGTAGAAATACAGTTAAGCCTCTGTGGTTGGGGGATGGAGCCTGGATATTTAGGGTCAGTATGAAGCAGATGAAAAAGAGAGAGAAAAGCCTGAGACAGGGAAAAGGAAGCAGAAACAAACAGACATGAGATCTACACAGGACAATTTTCAGTAGCAGTTATAGGGCAAAGAAGGCAAAATTAATGTGGTTCATAGGAGAAATTTTTTTTATTTCTAGCTTGATAGTGGTTTTAAGAAAGGATGTCATGTCATATTTCCAATTTTGTGATTAGAATATTCGTTTCCATAAACATTTGAACAGGATTGGAGTAGATATGATAAACTAGGAGCACCACATACCTATAGCTAGCTCAGTTCTTGAATCACTTTTGATATTCCCCCAGGTTGATATGCCTTCTAATTTTTAACCCTACAAGTCAATATCGAATAATTTGTTGTTATTTGCCCCAGTAAATATATATAATATATAGGTTATATTATTATATAATATAAACAAATATGTATAAACATAAACATTTACCTATAAGAAGAGCTTTATTATAAAATTATCTGCATGGTTTGAACCTTGAACTACTTTTTAGATGACATCTTACTGTAAGATTCTTTCAGCATTTAAATAGCTAGCTTTTAGATGGCAGTGCTTTCCATAAGAAGTGTATTGTGGGTTATCAAATACCATTAACAATCTTAGTGATTCATTTCAGTTCAACAAATAATTAGTATATGCTTACTGTGTTGGCACTGTGCTTGGCACCAAGGATGTTAGGGAAATCCAGGGATATTAGAACAGCCCACCTCCTAAGGGAATGTAATAAGGGAATGTAATATAATACCTTTTGGGAGAAAAAGCATGAAAAAGAACAGTGAACAAATTATGAATTTATGGAGTCTAAGATTTGGAAGGGACCTCAGGTCATCTTGACTCAAACCTACCTGAAGCATCTTCTATTTACATTTTATTTCTAAGTGCTGAATGTTTTCTGTTTATTGTCTTTGATAATTTTGCAAACCTCAATAGGCTTATTGTGGAATTATTTCTTTTTGACATAGTGTTTGTGATTTTTCTGCCCTTTTTTGGTACAGTTATAGATTTTTGTTTGACTAGAACGCTCGTTTGTGATGAAGACACTAATTACCAGAGTCTCCGACTGACTTGGGCTTCTAAAACCAGTTGTAATCAGAGAAAAGGTAAGAGGCATTACTTTGTTTGTAATGTTAGAAAATAGATCTTGTCAGGTTTGTAAACTCCTTTGGAATCATTCAGAGATTTTAGGAGGTTCTTTTTTTTTTCAGGCACTTGGTGCTCTAGAACAATAATTTATTTGCAATCCCCCAATAAATGTGACATCCTAATATGTGAAATTTTACTATTGTGAAATTCTAGCTTAAGGAAATAATGTATTTTACTTAAGTACACACCTGTGGCTTCTTCCAAATGCCCTGTGCAGAAAGGTCCTAGCTTTCGGTCTTGCTTATAGATAAGGTAGATTAAAATAGACACGGCAGCAATGGTTGTTGTAAGTAATTGCAGCAACACTACAGAGATTTTACTTAAACATACAGAGAGGTTCTTAGAAGATTACTATAAATCACTGAATCCTCCATTCTTAATCTGCCAGAACCTTTTCTCTAGGTCAGTGCCAGTTTCTGTTGCAGTCTATATCAAATCCTTCCTACTGAGTGGGATTTAGACCACTTACTCAAATAAAAACTCAGAGGTTTCTCCAGGTAGAAAACAGAAGGTTCATTCTAGCAAGTCTCGCGAGAGAGGTGGGTGTCACCTACCCAGGGCAGACTGGAGTAGTGAGGCTCAGCACAAACAGCAGCAAGCAGTTATATAGTCTTAGGCAAACCACTCCAAAAAGCCCCCCCTCCCCACTTGTTTGTCCCAATCTCTTTACCCTCATTGGCTGAGGCAAGAGACCTCACAGTCTATATTTAGAACCCAAGAGATACATTTAACTCAAAACACTGCTTGGGAGCTAGAGGATTGCCTCATTTGGTAAAGTGAAGATACAAAACAAAAGAGGGGTGGTTACAAAACAAGGGAGGGGGTGGGTAGCTGGTGCACAGCCCCTATTCCCTAAAAACAAAAGTGAAACTTAGGCCCAGCTGATGCTGAGGCCTCACTACATTTTGGAATATAGGTTACATTTCACTTGTCCCACACACTGTTGTCCTCTACTTTTCTCTGCTTGTTTTAATTCTATCAGAAAACAAAATCCTTATGCAGTTATTTTTTTTAGTAAGTTCTGTAAGTTATGATCCCTATAGATGATTCCCAGATCCTAGTCGCTCCCCTTAGCTATACTCATTCATTACCTACTGCCTCTTGGACACCTTGAACTTGATATCTTATAGACTCTCAAACTCACCATGCCCAAAACATGGTTACCTTTTCCCCCAAACCTACTCAATCCCATCTTTCACTCCGCTCCCAAAATGACTTACCTAAAACACGCATCTTATCAGGCTCCCTTCCCTTCTTAGTGAGCCCCAGTTATTCCTTGTGACTTCAAGGATCAAATATCAACTCCTGTTTGGCCTTGAAAACTCTCTCTAATTTAGCCCCTCCCTGCCTTTCAAATCTTCCTCCGCTTTATGCCTTCCCACCAACTCGATAATCCAGTCACACTGGAAAGCTTGTAGTTCCTTGCACAAGGCATTCCTTTTGTTGTTTCTGTAGCTTTGCGCTGGATCTCTTCCCTCCCCACCCCCCCCATCCTCCTCTCCATCCTCATCTCAGCCTCTTAGTGTCCTTGACTCAGCTCAAATCTCCGTTTTTGCAGGAGGTTTTGCCTGGCCTTTTGGTTGCCACATTGTGCTGCTGATCCACATTAAGCCTACAGTCCTTTAAGGTTCCCCACATTTGTTCAGATATTTTGCTGTCTAACCAGGGCAGTCAGATGGCACAGTGGATAGATTGATGGGCCTGGAATCAGGAAGACCTGAGTTCATATCCAGCCTAAGACACTTCCTAGCTATGTCACCATGGGCAGATCACTTCACCTCTATTTACTTTAGTTTCCTGGTCTGAAAAAGATGTGGGGAATCTTAAAGGACTGTAGGCTTAATGTGGATCAGCAGCACAATGTGGCAACCAAAAGGCCAGGAAAAACCTCCTGCAAAAATGGAGATTTGAGGATCGCAGGATTGTATTTGGTTACTGACTGTGAAACTGTCATATGCAGCCTGTTATTTTTAAAGGGAATGTTAAACCCAACATTGGTTCAAATGCTGCCCTCATTTCTGCATTCTCTTTTGAACTTCTTTTTGCTTTCTTCTCTACATTTTAAAAAATGTTTCATTAGGTGTCTTTTCCTTTATATTTTGGTATCACTACCCCTTGAATCCTCCCCCATAAGTCTCTGCCTTGTCTTGCAAATCCTTCCTGTTGTCCCATCCTTCCTCCACTAAAACATAGATACACGAAGCCAAAACTTCCATATAACAAATTAGTGTAACAGAGCAAAACATTTCTACATCTACTGCTTTGTACTGAAATTTAAGATTTGAGTACCAGTAGACCCTCTTCATTCCTGATTTTAAAGATTATTTAAGATTCTTGACCTTTAGTTCCTCCAGTTGAATCTTGTTATTTTTTTTCTGGTTCTGTAAAGTAATTCTTTTGTGGTATGAGCATTATGGCACTGTATTTGTAAATTAATTTAGGTACTATTATCATTTTTGTCATATTGGCATGACCCAACCATAAGCAATTCATTTTATACTTATTTAAATATGTATTTATTTCTATATAGAGTGCTTTGTGAAAGTATTGACATAATTCTTTGTTGAGTGTCATGGTAGATTTATTCTCAGATATTTTATACATTCTGTAGCTAGAATGACGGATTTATTTTTCTTTTTATTCCTTCTGGGTTGTGTTGGCAGTATGCAAGAAGACTAATGATTTTCTGAATATTATCTTATATTCATCTACTTTACTTAATTTTTTATTTCAATTACTATTTAGTTGATCTTTAGAATTCTTTAAGAAAACATATCGACTGCAAAAAGTACTGATTTTGTTTGTGTTTTAGGTATGTTTATTCCCTAGATTCCTTGTTTCTTGTCTGATTGCTATAAATATCATTTGAAGAACTCTATATCAGTCAGTCAGTGTGCCAAAAACTCTGCTAAGTGCTTGGAATACAAAGAAAGGCAGAAATTGTGCCTGCCTTTAAGAAGCTCCCACTGTAATGGTGAAAAACATGTAAGATGTAAACAGAGTAGAGGGAAGGTAATTTTAAGAATGTGATGCAGCAGCCTCAGGTGTGTATGGGGCTGGTGACAGGAAAAACTTCCTGAAGAAGGTGACATTTGGGCTGAGTCTTGAAAGAATCTGAAGAACTTAGAGGCTGTTCTGAAGAGGGAGATCACTAAAGACAAGGGGGACAGCAAATGTTAGCACAGAGATGGAAAATGTAGAGCCGTCTGCAAGGAAACTGCAAATAAATGTGGATGGATTGTGGATTGAGTAGAATAAAGTCTAGGACAGGGCTGGGGAACCTGTAGCCTTAAGGCCACATGTGGCCCTCTTGGTCCTCAAGTGTGGCCTTTTGAATGTAAACTTCACAGAACAAATCCTTTTATTAAGGGGATTTGTTCTATGAAGTTTGGATTCAGTCAAAGGACCACACTTGAGGACCTCGAGACCACAGGTTTCCCACCCCTGGTCTAGGAAGACTGGAAAGCAAAGGAGTGGGACAGGTTATGAAAGCTTTAATTACCAAACATTGGAATTTACATATGCTTCTGGAGGTAGCATGGAATCTCTGGAGGAGGAGGGATGGGGCAATGTAGACCTTTGCTTTAGTGAGATCAGATTGTTTCAGAGAGGCTTATTAGGAGCCAATAGAGTAGTCTAGACGTGAAGTGATTTTCAGGAAGAAATAGTAAAACTATAAAAGTTTAAATTCTCTGTTCTCACAGAGCTAGTCAGATATAACTAAAAGATTAACAAGAATAAAGTTAAGAACCTAAATATAGTTTTCAGAAAAGTTAGGATAGATTTTTGGCAATTACTGAATGGGTACAGAAAGTAGCAAGCATCTCCTGAAGTTGTATATAGTGTCTTTATAAAAATTGACCATGTCTAGGATATAAACATGTAGAAAAGTAGAAATATTAAATATATCCTTTACAGAATAACTATACAAGAAAAGCTGTATTCAGTAAATGGCTTTTGATAAAAGAATTTAAGATTAGAGATGAAGGAACTTAATCCTAAAGAAATTATGGCTCAGAGAATAAGCCGTAGAAACAATAGGAATTCCATCAACGAAAATTCAAACAATAAAATAACCATGAAATTTTGAGATATAGCCAAAGCAGTTTTGAGATAAGGAGTTATATCTCTAAGTACTTTGACCAATAAAAAAGAAAAAGAATGATCAGTGAATTGGGCATGCAATTAGATGTTTCCTTTATGAGTTTGTATACCAAGGCATTTAGAGTGTATAAATTTATTATTGGTATTATTGGTTTGTCTTTTATGATTCCTTTCCATATGATATGATTTCCTTGTTTATCCTTTTTTATTTTTTAAACGTTTATTTTTGTTTGATAGCATGGTGGAGAAGCTCCTGCTTTTTTGGATTCATTTGGTGCTTAGTTAATTTTTCTCCATCCCCTCAGTTTTATTTTATTTTTCCTTTTAAATGTGTTTCTTAGGGGAAAAAAACACAGATTGTAGGGTTTTGTTATCCAATCTGTCATTCTTTTTTGTTATATTGAGCTGTTTAATCCATTCACATTCAAAGTTATGAGTTAGATTTATATTTTTTTCCATCTATCTCTAAAGTGGTTTTTTTTCAAGTTATAGTTTTTCGCCTTCTTCTGCTGTATGTCCTTCAGTTACTTTACTTCAGTCTCTTTTTTAAGGTGACTCTGTTCTCACTGGCTCTCCTCCCTTTAACCCTACATCCTCTATTCTCATTTTATTCTCATCCTCTTTCCCTTTAGAGTTTTGTTGATTAGTTCCTCTCTCCTGCTTTTATCTGATTATATATTTCTTCCCTTTCTTTTTTCCTCTCCATCAGGTTGATTTCCCTTTACTCTTCTCTCCATCTGGTCCCATTCTTCAGTTTTTATAATTCCATTTTTTTTGGCTCCCCTTTCGAGAAAGGATTTTTTTCCCCACTGTTTTCATTATCTTCTACTGTTTACTCTAGACCTTCTTCTCT